CAACATCAGAGGGCTGGCCCTGAATGCATCTGGTTTTATTGTAGAGAAGGTCAGCGTTTAAGAGAGGGGGAAATCATTCTATCGCAGCTGGGGAGAGGGGAGTGGGGGCATCCTTGGAAAAGAGAGGCAAGGAAAAGAAGAGGGTTGTGTCCGCGTAAGGGGAGATGGAACACGAGCAGACTGAAGTCAAGAATCAGTCTTGGTAATAAAAAAAGACAAACAGCCATACATGCCAACAACAGATAAGCGTTTGGCTCCTGCTCATGCGAGCATCTGACAGCCTTCACATAGCTGAGCCACTATAGGTTCATTGTGGGCAAACTGGTAAAGTTGGTTACCAATCATCCTCAGCTTCCAGTCTCACTGTATGAGCTCTAATCCAATGTGATAAGCCAGTGCAATAGCAGTAAAGTATCCAGTGTGGAGGCACCACTGCCTCCTCAACCATGCAGGGCCAAGACCTCCCTCTGACTTCACGGAGGTGTCTGCGTGGATCCCAAACATCACAAGCCCCACACCCATTCCCTTTAACAGACTTGGGGTTTGAAATGACAGATATGGCTCATGGATTGGCAGAAGAAAATGTGGTGTCTTGATGTTTCCAACTGACCAGGGATAAGCCAGAACGGATATATGGCTGGATAGGCAATGAGATTGAGATATGAGGGTCTCCATCTGACCGATGGCTTCAAAGAGATGTGGTGTTGGTCTTCCGAGGCCCCAGATGAGGCTTAAGACATAAATGATTGCATACCAAGATGACCTATAGGTATTAACGGCCTCCAGGAAACAGCTCACCATCCACGTTTCCATTCCTGACCTTGCTTTGTGCTGCAGAAAGGATGTTGGGCCCAAACTAGCATTCGGTACATTCCGCTTAAGACACAGAGAGAGTAATGTGAAACATGTTGAATCAAAGACATCGCAGAAACCCTCCACCTCATTTAAGGACATGAGCAGCGCACTTATTAGGCCGAGCTCTTTTACTTGCTGTGAAGATACTGATGACAGCCATAATGTGTCTGGTTGTCCCACAGGACACTTAGCTCTGGACTGTCCCAATCACAAGACTAATTGTATAATTAGGCCAGCTCCGTTGGGGATGGGCACCTTTTGGCCCTTCGCAGACACTTGCCATGGTAAATGACAGTATATCTCACAAACTATCAAAGCTTATCCATCTTAGTGACACTAAACCTTGAGAGATGGCAATATTTTATTAACATGACTGATAGCTCAGCAAAAAACTAAAACCATAAGATGTGCCTCTGAGGAGAGCTGTATTTATCACATAATGTGTGGTAATTATAAATGTCCACTGTTTACATGAGATAATCTGCTTATTTTTGAATAACATTACTTGTTTCATTTTGACATTTTATAGCAGACATGTGAATTTAACCGTTTTCCTCTGGGTTCTGAGAGAACCAGCCAGCAGATTATGTATTCATCACTTCAGTGGGAGGCTGCAGAGTGGTGCTTTTCCATCAAAACTGAATTGGTCCTGAGGAGAAATGCAAGGGCCCCTCCCCTGCACAGACACGGAGAGTGCTTATTTCCCTACTACAGCCCCTCCTCAGATTTTCAGCATCACCATGCACATCATTATCGTTGTCAAAAGTTGTGCGCGGAGTATGAACTCTCGGTGATGGCGAGGCTGTGGCAGGCGCTGCCCGGGGGGAGCCAGGAGGAGGAGGGGGGACTCGCAGGTGTCGGTGCCTCAATTCTGACCGGCCGTGGCGAGGTTAGGACACCTCTCCATCCAGGAGGGCCCCATAGGTGCCCTCATTACGCAGGCCCCTGTAGCACAGAGCGGCGTGCGCATGGAGAGGAGAGGTACGACTCCTTACGCTCAAAGTCTACCTCTCCCACCTGGCCTCTGTCTGTCTGTCACAGCTCCTATAGGGAAGACTCCCAATATGAATTATAATAAGCATAATAACAACCCCGTGGTTGCAGGGAAACAGGAAGGGCTATTGGTAATGGCGAATTATTAGGGCCAGTTAGGCAAGCATCCATTCCACAAGGCCCCTGAGATGTCACATGAACACAGAGCAATAAACTGAGTCATCACTTTGAAAGTTAGATATTATTGTGCTAATCCTCCTCTGAGCTTGTTTCTAACTACATGGAACAAGAGCTTTTAATTTTTAAATTTTTTTCCCTCATTTAAACCTTTACTTGCTGTAGATCTCCTCTTCATATTTTATGATGCATGGCTGGGAAGTATGTTAAACGAATGAAGTTTATCCAAACTTCCCCGCTGCACACTGTGACCGAGATTCAAAGGGCAAGTGGTGCTTCATTAACCGTATCCCCATTTACTTTAGATCCCCCCTGAGTCTCAGAGAGAGCGGATTAATGTCAATTACCTGTCATTTTGCAACACCTACAATATGTTATGTCGACTCGAGCTTAATGGAATCACGTCGCCTTTTTCCTCAGAAACACTTGAAAATTGCGAATTTGCAACAGTTTTAATAAGAACAGGAAAAAAAAAAAAAAACCTTTTCATTCCAGGTGTAATTTTAATTTCTCACATTTGAAGAACTTTGATTATTCTGTTGTTTGTTGAGTTGCAGTCGAAGTTTTCTACTCGAAGTGTGATTTACTATCAGAAAAATGGGGGTGAAAATGAGGGGGGGGTGGGTGGGTGATTAAAACTGAGGACTGAACCTTATCTGTCATTTTTTTTTATTACAGGCGGAGGCCTAATCTGCTTAAACCATTTAAACAAACGACTAATTAGGCGCACTTTAAATGAGCAAAAATTGTGTAATTGTTTCCTAAATCCCAATTAGCAGGCTGTTTGGATTACAACAAGTTTTAACTATTTAACAAACTAATGAATACAGATTAGTTGCGATTATTTATTATGTTCCAATAAGTCTTCTCTCATACAAACTAATAACTGTCACCAGCTCAGTGCAGACGCGATTCCCCCTGTAAAGACCTAAAATAATGGCCTGCTATGCATGCAGACCGCACTAAACAAGAAGCCAGAGCACCGGACAAAGAAAACACCATCAAGCTCGAGGACCAATGAGGGGTTTCTTTCACTTTTCAATCACTCCTAGTTGTGCCCGGGATTAAGAGAGGGCTCTTGACTCTCTCTTTCACACAAAACCAAGAGTGCTTGTCAGCAACTTGAAGGAAAAAAGAGGAGAATAATACGTGAGTCCAGGGTTATCGTGTTTAATTGGATTAGATGGTGTCACGTTGAAGTCCGGAGCATGACAAATAAGAGATAGACGGCTGGGATCACACAAATATATGTGTATATATATATATATATATATATATATATATATATATATATATATATTTATCCATGCCCAGTTTTGGGGGATATCTATTAAAAAATAAATAACATTAAAGATATATTATTTGCTATTTTATTCAGATATAAAATTACGTAGAAATGCCCCAAATCATTCATAGAAGTAGTGCATGTCTTGGTTTGCCTCCATAAAAAGAAGTGAAACACGCTGAGAACTGTGGCACTGGAGAGGTTTATATTGTCGGGATTGTGTTGTTGGCTGTGTGCTGAGCTCATCTGTGCGTCAAGCGGCGGCAGCAATAACAAGGTGCGCGCAGCTGTGTGTGCAGGTGCGCGGCCTCCACCTGCTCAACGGCACAGAGAGAGAGAGAGAGAGAGAGAGAGAGAGAGAGAGAGAGAGAGAGAGAGAGAGAGAGAGAGAGAGACGGGTGCAGATCAAAAGCCTGGTTTTCGATTGTGCAGAGAAATGGGAAATTATCACCGGATTCACGTCGGCGTGGTCCGGTTTTTTTTTTTTTTTTTACCTTTAAATGCGCAAAGGAGAGCTGAAAGTGGCTTTAACGAGGCAAATGCATCTCGGGTCTAAAGTTTAAGAGGAACAGCATAATATTTAGTTAGAAAGTTTCAAGCCTGGAGTTGGCACACCCTTTTTTTTTCACCAGTAATGCATCAGAAGTTCTGAATGTCCCAACAGTGTGACTTGGTGTTTCGCACCATTTTGCTCAAACGCATCACCTGTGAGTCGGGAAAACAAAAAACCATCAGATCAGACAGCGTCCAGGTAAACACGGTAGAACAAAGAGAGAGAGAGAGAGAGAGAGAAGAGAGAGAGAGAGAGAGAGAGAGAGAGAGAGAGAGAGAGAGAGCAGAGCGGGATCAGAGGGGTAGAAAGGCATCAGTGCACACACACACACACACACCAGACATTTTTCCTGAAAAGTTCTAAAACTGCCCGCTCGGATATTTCTGCCTATAATAAGAATGTTTAATCTCATTTCCAATAGAGAGGAATATGAAGCCCATCAATCATTTGGGCCTCGGTTTAACATTTTACTGCCTAATTAGCTTTTAGAGGCAGGTGTGGGACTTGATCTCCGCGCATGTCTGTTTGGCCGCAGACCTGTTCATTTTATGAGGCGCTGTGACTTTTATTTTTCTCCTTTTAAACTGTCTGTGTCGGTCGAGTAAACTTTCTTTTGGTCTGTCTTGTCTGCTGCGTTCAGGGACAACAAAGAGCCAACAAACACACAAGACCCATAATCTCCTCCAGGTAGTTCCCCCAAATTTTATGAAATCAAAGTAGAGGGGGCGTTAAACCGAATATGTGCGTTAAACGCGGCGTCAAAAAGGGCCTATCCGTCCCTCTTCTGGTGTGTGAATTAGATAAAAAAATACATTCTGACATACATGACAGGTTATTGTTGTTGTTTCTCTAAAGTTAACATGCATATGCGCTGCAGTAATCCACAGGAAATCCAGCAGTGCCAGAGATAAAATAATAAACCTGTGCTGCTGCAGTGAAGCTGAAGTCAGACATCCACCAGAGTCACAGCTGACGACAGATGGACACTTGGGGTAAAAAAAAAAAAAAACTAAAAAGTTGCAGAGACTTTTTGTCGCTCTGTAACGAGTCTCATTACCATGCCACCCACCCCCCTCCTCCTCCTCCTCTTCCTCCTCCTCCTCCCCGACACCCTTCCTCACTCCTGGCAACAGCAGACAAAGCGGGCGGATTTTAGTGGTCTCCGCCGGGGCCGGTCCGCCTTTGATCTGAGCCCGTTAAGGAGAAGGGAGTCTGGGGGGAGTCAGGCCAAGAGGAGGGCTGTGGAGGAAGGTAAAGTCACCTCAAAATATTTCTACCTATTTTAGAGATATAATAGAACTAGAATTGAACCTTTCTGTGGGACACAATAGTTGCTAATTTGCATTTGAGGCAACACCTCTGAGGGGAAGATGCTGCCAGCCCAAGTCTGTCCTGTTTAATAGGCTACATTCATTTTCTCTACCTACTGCAGATCATATTAACCCGCCAGGTAAACGCACCCCGGGGATGCCTGGACTTTTAAGGGAGACGGATCTCCGAGAACTAAACTCTGCAAGGAGCATGAAGGGCCTTCAAATATAGAGGCCTGGACCAGTTTGGTGGGTTAAATTAAATGGGAATAGACGCCCCCCCGCCCATCACCTTTAGGATAGACCTATAGCAGGTTGGCAGCAGCTCCAGCTCCACATTCTCTATATACCTGTCTGGTGTTGTGAATGAATTATTGTCCAAATTTGACACATATATTAAAATAAATAAATAACTTAACTGCACTAATGTGAGCTAAATCAATTATAGAAAATGCCTTTTCTTTAGAAAATTAACATTATTTAGCTTAACATGATGCCCACAGGCCTACTGGAGGCATCAAGGGGATTTATGACACAATATAAAAGGTGGAGAAGAAAAAAAAGTTTAACATCTCTGATGCGGATTCCTGCCACGCCGCTCCGTCCCCTCGGACTGCCTCGCTGACGGGGACATTCAAACAAAAGGTCTTCTCAAATGAAGTTAGTAATGGTCCACATGTGCCAGATCACTCAGGCAGCACAGACAGGCCGCGGTGAATTTCATATCATGCAAACGCACTGGAGGGAATAAAGGAAGGCTGGACGTGCGCCTGTCACCAGAGGGGAATAAAAAAAAAAAAAAGCTCTGCGTTCAATAATAAAAAAAAAAGAAAAGGGGGGAAAATATCTAACAAATATTCCTCTGACATACATTCAGAATAAAGTAGCTTATGATAAATATAGTGTGTGGCCATGTGTGCTCGCCTGGCATTGCAGTGTGCAGGAAAACAAGATAAATAAAAGTAAAAAGGTGGAAGAGTTTCTAGTAGCAGAGGATGCTTTTTAAATTAATCCGCCTTTTTATGACCCGCTCGTTCAAAAAATAATCTGCTGCATTTGACTCTTAAATTACTTTTCATAAATCAGTTTTCTTGCAGATGAATTATTTCAAATTCTACCTCCCCAAAATGCGTATTTAAGCAGAAGGTAAAAGCACTCATTCCTCATCATTTTAATTCGTTTCTATAATTGTTTTTGAAAGAAATAATTGATGAGGGGCTAAAAAAAAAAAGAAGAATTTTGTTGTCTTCCTCAGGGCTGTGATATCCTGGAAATTAAGAACTAACTGTAATAGTTGTGCCACAGTTTCTCAGAGGACGGCCTATTGAAGCCACTCTGAAAATGTTTTAATTCATTTAGACAATATTCCTAAATATTGAAACAGAGTAAATTAGCTTAAACTAAATGTTTTATGTTGATCAGCATTGCACACGTTATATTTTAAGCCATTTTAGCTAATAGGTTTACACTTCTCAAACTGTGCTGCAGCTCCAATAACGAGGCATTTTATTGCTTCAGAATCATCTTTTGCTGCAATTACTCCGTCATATATTGTCATTAGAAGTCTATTAAAACATCAAGTCATTATTCGGGCATCCCCGGGCGGGGAATTAGAATAAAACCATCTTTGCCACACGGGTCCCATTTAGATTAATGGAAAAATATGTAAAACATTTCGTTTTAATTTTCCTCTGACAGTGTTTTGCATACATGCATTTTCTCCGCCTGCGCTGTCCCTCATAATTTATGAAAGCAATCTCGACCAGCACATTACCGGGCTATGAAATACTGCTCGCAGCCTAATTGATTCCCGTCACAATTTTGTGAGGTTATAATCGTGTTAATTGTAATTTACTCTCTCAGGGAATACCGGAGAGATGTATTTAAATAAAACTGCCGAGCGGACTGAGAAGATTATATCAGTTCCACACATAATAGAAATGTCATGTAGAATTACACAGCGGAGGCAGACAGGGATGCATTCCTCTAATCAACAGAGATGTCACCGAAATCTTTTGCTTTTTCATTCCCGAACGTTATTGAATTGCAAAGTCGTCAAGGTGCAACGAAAGCTGAGCAAAGGGAGCTCCTTAAAGACCAAAGGACATAGTTTGTTTCACCTTTAAGTCAGAGAGAGAGAGAGAGAGGGGGGGGCAGGGCAGGGCTGAGGAGGTGTACAGAAATAACACATAAGAGAAGGATTATTGGATGGAACCAAAACATTATAATATATGTGCCCCACACAAACACTGGGGGGATGTTGTGTTTTGTTAAACATGGCCAAATCATTTCCTCATCATCCTCAGAAGAGTTGCCCTTTCTGCTTTGTCCCTGCAGGATGCCCAGTGCTGCTTCCTCTGCTTAGAGATCTTCCTTCCTGTCTGCAGGGACACCTGTTGGTGCAGAGCAGCTTGGAAAAGCCAAGTTGTCCCGTCAGACTGGCCTCCTTCACTACTAAAGTCACCTGGTGAGCCTCTGTTTAGCTATAAGTGCTGGATATTCACAGCCATGTGTCAAAGAAAGACTTATTATGTAGTTCTACTGTACTCTGACTCAACAGGGACCGACAAAGCTGCCTTATTAAGCATTTGAGAGGACATTAAAATGACATCTTTAGTATCAAACGTCCTGAATCACACCTGATCGCACAATGCCAACTTTTTTTAATTTTAACATTTTGATGGAGATAAAACTTATTACCAAACATGAAATTAAACTAAGGTGAAACTGTTGGGAACGGCTCTTTATTTGTATTTAATTGTTATAACAATTAAAAGACACATTTGCCTGTACCTTAACTTATTCATACAAGAATCCGTTTTCATTCTGCAACTTTTTCTGCAGACATTTCAAACTGGATTACAACCAGATCTAGCTGCAACAAATTATACATTATTGGAAGTTTAAGAAGTCAAAGTCAAGTGTTTCAAAGTATGATTAAAATCTGCACAGCCTGTTTTAATCACACGGCACAAAAACATATTATAGACATATTATAATTTAAGCAATCAGGACAGGCTACCCACGGACATCTTTTAATACCATTTAAGTGGACCGGGTTCACGATATGGCTGCAGAGCTTCACAAAATGGCTCTACCCAAATAACAATGTTGATTTATTTAATGAAAGTCATACATAATGGAAGTTTTGTCCACCAACCTCAGGGTATAATAGTAGTTTGGGTGAAAACAAACAAACAAGCTGAATGTGAATTCCCGACAGAAAAAGTGAGCCAGGGGTGAGAGAAATATGTGGCCAAATGCCAAAGAGACAGCTTACTGTTAGGGGTCTTTGGCTGGGCGCAGGAGTGGTTTCGATCTTTTTGTCTGGCCTGGCCTGGCACAGACCACAGTCCTGCCCCAGACACAATAGCTCATACAGTACGAGAGAGGGAGAGAGAGAGATGAGTGGATGAGGTGGGGTAGGGGAGGTATGGTGCCTTTCATTACCATGGTCACCAATGGCACTATTAACCATTCAACACCCCCCCAATTATCCTCCCATCCACAGTCAGAGAGACAAAGCCTCAGTCCTGGTCTGCTGGAGCAACATGGCCACTAATCTGTCTCACTCCAACATCACACCCACTTCACTGTCTCTGGAAGTCAGACGTGCACAAGCACTCCACAGAGACCCCATTGTACTTTTATTTGTGACAACGCAACAAACGACTTTACTGAACTTGTTTGGGAGTTAATTTTCCTTTTTATTAAAGTGACCATTTAGAAGCGCGGACAGGATGAGGTATTGGTTGGTTTTTTGTAGATGCTGAAAACAAACAAACAGATGAACCTAATCTAGAAACAACAGCTGAAAATCCAAGTTAAACTCTTTGTGTTAAATGAGAAATCAGGTAAAGAATACGGCCGCAGCATGTGCATGTATGCAGTGTTTATTTTTCGTACAGGTCATGGTGTGTCTGACGCCACACGCCTTCTCCATCAAGACCACAGGCTCACAGCTGCCACAGAGCGAGCTGCATGTCTTTACTAAGGAGACTGACACAAAAAAGCTAAATCGTGAGTTTACGCACTTCCATCTGTGTGGTTTTTTTTTTTTTTTAAGTGAACGAGACTTTGATGTTTGTGAGTCAGGCCCTGGGCAGGGGGCTGAGGCCTGACTGGAAGACTGGGGCCTAATGAATAGATCCACAACAGTGGCTTGTTGTGTTTGTTTACCCTTTCGCCCAGCTGCCTGGACCGTGGAGATGGGAGTGCATTCATCATGACCTAGGAGAGATGGAAGGCATGGACACACACACACACACACACACACACACACACACACACACAGACACACAAACACAAGAGAGTGACATGATGGCGCACACACTGCAAAGTGTGCCAAGAAAGTGCCCACACAGGGCAAAAATCCTCGACACTCAGTTTCAAGACGCATATATGTGCTGTTGCTGCTCGCTATGTGCAGATTTTATATAGTTGAAAATGTATATATATTTTAAACCAAAACTCCAAATCAATACAAAAGCTTCCCTGAAACTGCTATAACAATCAAATGAATTTAATCAAAACATTTCAACAATTATTAAAAACTTAAATTTAAACCACAATTTGTACATAACATAGTTTATATGCTTTTGAAAGTGCTGTCTTTATCATGAACCCTGCCACATTTCCACTTTCCTTTGACCTCTCCTGTCAGGGTTTAGTTGTGTGGTTCCTCCGAGTTTCTTCTCACCAGCCACGTTATTTCTCTGGCACCACAACGGAGAGTGTTATGATGTTCTGTGCCTGCTTCACCGAGGGCATGTCAATCATGCTGCCGCGGAAGGTGAACGCACCCTGAACAGGTTTACAACAGAGGTGAGGGCAGAAAGAGAAAACATTAGACCAGACGTGCACAGAAAATGCACTTTAAAATGTTCTCAGGTGAAGGATATTGATTACAGACGCAGGAACTAGATTACTGTACGGAAAACATAACATGCCACTTCATGAGAGCCACCATAATACATATTTTATGTGTATGGGGATGTAACATAAAAATAGGATTTTTCCAGACTTTTAATGTTGTTTTTAATCTGTAACAAATAACACTAAACAAAATCATCAACAGAAAACAGGATGTAAAATGCAATTTTACATAATCTAGAATAAAATGCTACATTAAAAAGATCGCAAAAACCACAAGTGAGAAAAATACAGTCAATAGCTCGGGGTGAGAATTATGAAAAACAAGCACCTGTCGTGTCGTAAGACAAAGGAACTGACCCTGCTTGCTGTTCAAACCCCTTACTCACACACAGACAGAAACACACACACACACACACACACACACACACACACACACACGCACACACACACACACGCACACCCACACACACCCACCCACACACACGCACACACACACACACACACACACACCGCAGCAGAGGGATGGGTAAGATATGAATCCCTCGGGCGATGCTTAGTAGGAGCAGCTCTGGCAGGGAGAGAGGTGTGGGCAGATTGTGTATTACCTCAGCAGATAGCCCACAGAGCTCAACACACAGGATCCAACCATGCACTAAATTAGGAACAATAATATTGTACACTTAATTGGCCCAACCCCCACCCATTCTCTTCTCCTATGTTGTCTCTGAGAGTCACCCAGGGGTGTACAGTATGTATTCTCTGGAACTACAGAGGTGTGTGAGAGGGCACACAGAGGATCGGTCCAAGTTTCAGAGCAGACGCTACACACATATCGCATATATTGGGTCATGCTGGAGACATACATTTCAGAAAGTCTTTCTTAAATTGAATTTATCAAAAAAAATGTTTTGTGAACCAAAATTTGTCTGACTGAAATTACAGGATATATCCAGAGGACAATCAGGACGGAAACAATAAGGAACAAGCAAAGTGGGCAGTGTGCCTTTATCTGGTCTTTTTTGCATTTGCATACAAACTTGACTTCTAGGCAAATAATGTAACCATCTTTCAAGTTATACAATTTTATATATAACTCCTTTTAAGTATAAAATCTCTGGCTACATGTCTAAATTGTCTCAGCAATGAGCAACTATGGAAAGAGAAATTAAAATGATTTTTTAACCTCTTAAATAATGTGATTTTACGTTTGGGAGAGGATGTTAACATTACCTTTCCCTCCTTTTGGTGTTGGTCAAAAGCAGTAATGAGCTCTTTGGCCCACTGAACCCTCTCCGGACTGGGGGAGAACTCTTCCTGCACAGCCTGGATCTGCCCTGGGTGGATAACCTGTTTACCTGTACAGAAACACAGAAAGAAACACACACAGAGAAAGAAAGTGAAATATGCTAATGACAACAGCAGGCTTTCTGTGGCTTCAAGTAAAATTAAATACAAGAGCCATTCAGGCTAAAAAAAACAACAATGTTTTTACTAGTTGTCACAGAGGTATCAATAACACAGTTTGTACCAATTACCCTTCCCTGATTAAACAAAAAAAAATATATATCTTTTTATGAAAACTGTTGAACAACCAGCTGTACAAAACTGGATGGAAAAAAAAAAAGAAAAAGTCTAAAAATTGGGTGGGATTGCAGCTGGCAATGTTTCTGAGAGAGAGGAACGACAGCACAAAGAGGGAATGAGACAGAAACAGTAAATACAGGAGACTAAACTCTGAGGTGTGTGTGTGTGTGTGTGTGTGTGTGTGTGTGTGTGTGTGTGTGTGTGTGTGTGTGTGTGTGTCAGTATGACCTATGGCACTGAGGTGAGTCAGATGGTCAGCACAGGACCAGAGGATGCTGTGCTTCATGAAGGATAACAAGTGTCTCCTTGCAGTCCTGCTGTCAAAATGAAACTTTTCTGGACTCTTTATGTGACAGAAGTTGAAAACAACCTGTGAGAGCCTGACAGAGACTGAGTAGACATACAAGTTAAATTCTTAAAGATTGCCAGAGAATAAACCCGTGGACCATGTATTATATTTATAACCAAGTTCAAATGGATATCAAATACATTCTTTCAGGCATCCTTGCTAACTAGTAAACTCTAGTAAACTTGTAAATCTAAAAAAACCCTTATTTTCTATGAATGCATTTTATATTGCATCTGTGCAATTTTTATAAACGTTCATTGTCGGTGGTTGCACACGCTTCAAATGTAACCACCACATCCAAGTAAAACACAAGCCTAACATGGAGTTAAGGCTCTGTCTGACACAATCCCCCACCCCTTCTACTCCCACTCCCTCTCAGTTAAATGTGGGCTAACGCCGCAGACATAATCCCGTGTACATTTGCAGATCAAACTTGTAGTGATAAGTTAAGGTTATGAAACGTCTGGTGAGAACGACGGCTCAGCAGCAGCCAGCAGGATCTCAACACTTTAGGGCTTAGCTCTGTCGCCGACAACAAATCCTTCAAGGTGGCCGAGCGGGCGGGCTGCACGAGCACAAAAATTTGCCCAGGAGAGAGGAGGAGAAGCGAGGACAGGAGAGGAAAGGGGAGGAGAGAAGAGAGAACCCACTCCCTTCATCCAGCTCCGCTCACCCCAGTTAACCTCAGAAAAACACACACACACACACACACACACACACACACACACACACACACACACACACACACACACACACACACACACATAGCAGTTGCACAATCAACACACTGTAGTCAAAAGCGTAAACAATTACTGATAAGGGAACATGATTCATTAAACTGCAACTTATGATTAACATATACCTTCGAGGGAAGTATGCGTACCACAAAATATGACATTTGGCACTTGTTTGTCTGTCACTGCGAATGCCTGAAGGCCTGTGTGTGCGTTTGTTTGTGTGAAGCAGAGAGAGTGTGACTGCACATTTTCTGTTGGAGACTGAGGAACTGGAGATGTGTGTGTGTGTGTGTGTGTGTGTGTGTGTGTGTGTATGTATGCATGCAATGTTGTGTGCATGCATCACATGGTCTGTAGTAAAAGGTATTTTGATTCTCCTACTTATCCTTTGTGAATATTATCACTATTTCCATGCAACCACCTGTGTGTGTGTGTGTGTGTGTGTGTGTGTGTGTGTGTGTGTGTGTGTGTGTGTGTGTGTGTGTGTGTGTGTGTGTGTGTGTGTGTGTGTGTGTGTGTGTGTGTGTGTGTGTGTGTGTGTGTGTACTATGTGCATGTATGTTGCATTCTATGAGGACTGAGGCAAGAGGAGTCTGTGTTCCCTCCTCTGCCACCTGTTTTACTTCTGGGCTGAAGATGGGAGCATGTTTCCACACTGAAATTGGCAGGCTTAAAAGTACTCAAAGAGGGTGTCTCTTTATGTGTGTGTGTGCGTGCGTGCACGTGTCAGTGTAGGACAACAGGCGAATGACAGAGCGAAGAAACAGACAGGGTGACTCAGGTGCCCTCAGTCACAACCCATTGGTTCCCCTAAAATGCATCATTCATGCCCTCCAGCCAATCCCAGCCTGCCATGTGGTGCTGGCATCTCATTGGAGGATTGCTATTTAGCAAAGTGCTCTCAGGCGAATGATGGGCAGGGTCCCTGGGATGGAAGTGAAATGTGGTCCCTGAAAGCAGAGAATTTTATGGAACCGTTTTCTATTTCTGGGAGGCAAACATTTTTAGAAGGATCATTGAGTCTTAGCAGTAACATGTAGCTTTCAGAACATAAAACCAGATGCTTATGAAATTAATTAAACCCTCCAAATGAATGCCGTTCCTCCCCAACAGATTTGATACATGTCGAGGTTTTTCTGAATTTTGCCTTCACAATGTCTTGTTTACCAGTAAGAAGCACCGGGTGTTTGTCTTTCGCCAGTGCGTTCTGTGCTCAGTGCTAATGGGTGCTGTATGCGGCTTAGGTGCTGCCAAGGTCAATTACTGCACAGGTAGACGCTTTTGGCTGCACCGTATTATTGCTTAAGCACACTCGGGCCAGTAATAGCTACTAACTAAGATTATACAGAGTGCCCATGGCTTGTAAGCCACTAATCCTGTGCTTTTGAATAGTTCTGTTCCATATCAAATCTAACCATTTATTTTATCAACCGCCTGCTTCCATTATTAGCTTTTATATCTTTTACCCCATATAAACAAAGGTTTCTTTTATGAAAATAAGATTAGTCAAAAATAACTGATGCAAACAAGTGCAAACAATCAGACAGATTGTTATTTGTAATATATGCATACCTTGTGCGCTACCCAGAATATACACATCACACTGCAATGTGTAAATTGTTCTGCAAAAAGACAAATGTTAAATTGTTCAGTAAAAAGGTGTTAATCATCTAAACAGACGCATGGTTATAGCTGAATAATTTTGAATAGAAACACACAGTGATGCACATACACAAACACACACAAACCCGTAGCACCACAGAATAGAGGTCATCTGGAAAATAAGTTGCTGTATGAGACAACAAGAAGCTCTGCTACAAGATGATTTGATGATGGGAAGTACAGGTAACGTGTGTAGAGGCCACAGCAACATAGAGAGTGTGCTCAGGGATTCACAATTTTGCAGTGCCAAAAAAAAAGTGTTAAGTGCTTTCCTTTCTTTACAGTGTGAAAGGCTGACTAATTGCTGACGTTCTGCTCCATTCACTGATCTCACATTCAAAGACGAAAAAATCTAAACATTACAACATAGTTAATCAAACATTATATTATGAGATTCAATTATTTTCTTTCCTCTCACAGTTTATGTGGACCAAGACCACAGTGGGAAATATGTCAGATTGTGAAATAATCAGCCTTCAAGGGATGAAAAAAGCAGAATAAATATATTTGCTGCAGCAAAGGAAGAATGACTGGAATATCCACTTTGGAACAGGCTGTCCTGCCTTCTGTGGTCTGTTACAGGCAGTCTGCAAGACACACACAGACACACAGACACACAGACACACACACACACACACACATACACACACATACACACACATACACACACACGCACATACACACACACACACACACACATTCTGAAAGCGTTGCCTGGCTACAGACACACACAGAGCGCTGTTAAAGTAGACGCTACCACTCTTTTCTAATAACACCCTTTTATCATACACGCACGCTTGCACACGAGCAGGTACGCACGCACACCCGAGGCCATGCGCGCAGACACAATGCCATTCACGGTGGGCGCAACAGAAATGTCAGAAAAGCATTTAAGGGTGGCAGCGCTGTTCACAATTCACTTCAGCAGCTCCTAAAGTGATAAAAAAAGAGAAAGGCAAGCAGCCACTTCTAAAACCACAGAGCTTCATTACAATCAACAATACAAGTACATCAGTGCCAATATGTTTTCAAACCACATTTATAACAATTATCAAGAAACGCCTAGAAATCTTATTAGAACATAGGAAGAGAAAGAAGGAAGGAGGAGAGAAAACTAAAATGTTGGATTCCCGGAATGCTGCTTGCAACCGGAAGCTGAGTGAAGAATATACTGCACGGGGAATAAAGAGCAACCACTGAGAATGATGTGAAGCAACTACAGAAATCAGAGGCACCAGAGGGTGCACAGACATGTTGAGGTCAGGACCTTAAGTGAGCTTAGTTAATGGGACAGGGGCAGATTTGACAAACTTTACCTGTGAAGCCCATGAGAGCACCCTCTCTGGCCTGTCGCCTCAGCCCCTCCACATCTTTGTAGTCAATGTAGACGAGGTCGATGGCCTGCAGCCCAAACGCTTTGGTGGTCACAACCACCTTCTGCCTCGCGTAAAGGAGCTCCCTAGCATCTTTCGTCCGCGTGGCACCTAGAGAAAAAAATATGGGGGCACACACGCACATCATGTAGGTCACGTGCCAGTTAAGATCTCAGAGGGAGGCAGGCGGATAAGCAAGGAAATACGAGGTTGAAGAGGAGGTGGGATGGGGAGGGTGGTGAACAGACAAATGAAGTAGTGACAGAAGCCAGGACAGCAATTACACTGATATGCAGCATGTCAGTCTGACAGCGTTTCATATCAAACTCAAAATATCACAGTCAAAATCTGGCATTTGAGTATTACTTCTCAGCCTAGCAAATCTTCCTGATCGTCAGTTAAAATGTCTCCTGATAAATCCAGTTTGGTGTATGTCATAATAAAAATGAAGTACTTGTTTCTAAGTGGCTTCATGAAATTCATGTCAGGACATATCAAAAAGAGAGTGAATCAGCAGTTCAACCAACGTTCTTAGCGTCTCTTCTTTGAAAACAGACCTAACCATGGGTTAAAAGGACTACAAACTAACTTTAAAAATAGGTAATGATTTAAACACATCCTCCCTTTGTACTTAAGTACGTTAAGTGGTCACAGGCTGCATGTAATCATACACTCTGAGGTGTCCTAATGTGGAAACTAATGGACTTGGTAGAGGAAATGCATCTGCACTTCCATCTCATTCATTATTTTTGTATATCAGGACACCTCATTTTGTCACCGTCACGAACACATCCCACATCTACAAATCAACATTTATTCCCATATAAACACTGTAAAAACTATATATAACGCTATATAACCTGATATTCTCCGCCACAGATCCAGAAAAAGGATGATGGGATAGCATATTTGTGGCCAACAGAGAGTGAGAAAGTTGAGAAGAAGGTGTAATGCTGTAGCTACCTATGCTTGCACAGAAGTCATCTGAGCCAAACACCACACCGTCATGGTGGAGACCAGCTTTGGGAGCAAGTCGACGGATTTCCTCACACACCGCCTGGAGAGAATATGTATCAGTATAACACAAGCTGACTAAAATGTGACACAGATGAATAGATGGAAATATATACAAATGCTGCAGGGTACATCTAGTTATACTCCTATATTCTGACTGTAGATAAAATTATCCGGATTTCTGAGTTTCCTTTCCAGCCATCCTCACATATTCTTATTCTCTCCAACAAATATGCAAATGAACACAACTCCTAACTTTTAGTCCAGCTTATTTTTCATAAAGACTGCTAATAATGGACAAACCCTTCAAATATTCCACCTGCATGGAAACATACTATACATAAATAGAAACAAACCAATACAGCCAGTAATACTACAGATGCCTGTTCACTCTTGGCCCAAGACTATCTTAGTTATCTAAGTAGTGGCGAGTACCATAAATACTTTTTGAGTACCATTCTGAATGTTTCTACACGAGTCACTGGCTGAAACAATAAAGTTTTAAAACCTGACAAGTACTGAAAGCTGGCATCGAATGCTGGGTTGGATTTATCTTTCTTTACTTATTCTACAACAATTTATTAACAGACTATTTTATGTTTTGCATTATGTGCTGTATTGATTTTAAGATCTTATACTGCTATTTTGTATTAAGAAAAATGTGAATTACTGTTGCATTGAGAAGTCTATTATGTAAAATTAAAAAAATATATTTTTACAAGAAATTCTGTTTTTCTAAAGAGGTACTGAAATATAAGTCAGATACCATATTAGTACCTGTACAGAAAAATGAGACTAACGGCCACAATTATTATCAAACGAGGAAAGCAAAATACATTTAAAAAAAATCTGGAATGTTATTGTCTGTGGTGAAGAGCGTGAAACAATAAGAACATGTCTCCTGCTTTTGTTGGCCTCCAAATTAATTTCACCACTAGCTGTGCCACAGCGATTTTTTTCGTGCCTGTAACCTGGGGTTCAGTCTGGGCAAAGATACAGGGTGTTCTCAAGAAAGCACACAGAGGCACCCCCTGCCAACAAAACACACGCACATACTAACAACCACAAACACAGTCACAGAATTAGAGTGGAGAAGTGATAGACGAATCAAACGACAGCTTGTTTCTCCCCAAATGCCCAAAACCATGCCCTTTTCCCCATGTAGCTGAAGGTCGTGCGGTACTATAACAGGAACTGCTTTGATGCTTGCCAAAATATCATTAAGAACTTTTCCACTATGATGATATTAAAACAGTTCTAATTAAAAAATGTCAGCGTGTCTGGAGAGGGATAGAGAGAGACGCACACAGACAGACACAGAGAAAGGAAATGAAAAAAAAAAGGCTCAAAAGGCTCATTTTGAGAGACTGTCCGAGAGCTTTGAAACCCTTTCATTTGGGACACGTGGAGCGCTCAGCTCGCTGACACAGTCTTTAATCTAAAGTGAACAATGGACAAACTGCAAAATGTCTTACGCAGGCAGTTTTTTGGGGGGGATTTGTTTGTAATTTACCTTAAAATTGAGCAGGCCCACAGCGGTTTCCACAAAGGTGACCAGGCGAATGGGTTCTGTCAGTGCCCGTCCTTTCAAGTTGTGCTGAAACCTGTCAACAAACTGAACACACCGGCACACAATCTCACGCACGACTCATTAACAACACTCACTGTTTCTGTAAATAGAAAACAATAAACCTCCAAAACAATCACAATAAATGAATTTGTTCTCACTATATTGTACAATCATAGTCACCACATTTATTAGACGTTTGTTGGAGCATCTCCTTTATGATGATCAGCCTGTGCGATATATGGACTATGATACACACAGACCATTAAAGGAAATATGTTCTGGAGGACTGTATTTCTGACCAAGTGCTTGCTCTTCTGTAGAATGTGTGGTTAAAGTGTAGCTGCCAGCCTCAGTGGACTTATCAATGCATTATCAGTTATATGAATGTGAAAAACAGGAACCTCATACTGAGATACTGAGCTACTGTGTGAGAGTGAATTCAAAACTGGAAGAAGAAAAAAAACGGTTCAGCAGTAAAAAAAAAAGAAAAAAAAAAAGAAGAAGTACATAAATGACATGACACGTCTTTCAAAATCCACTGTGGGGTAAGACAGACGAGAGGAGAAAAAAGAAATCTTAACGTGCAAAAACTCACTTTTGATACGAATCTTGACACCTTTATTACCTGCACTGTTCCCATTTCAGTCCTTATTCAGTAACACATCTATGAGGGTTCAAATAGCGCAGAGAGCGAGCACAGGAGAGCAGCAACAAAAGCGGGTGAAATGAAATATTTTACATTATCACCAGGGTTCCCCCTGCGTCTGAAGTCTTCTGCTCTACCTTCTTTCATAGGCTCTGCACAACTACAGCATGTGCTCCCCTGAGAATGTGCACACATGTAAATGCACACATGCACGCACGAGCACATGCATACACACAGCAAACCAAAGAAGAAACAAAATATGGAAAAAAGGGGAGAAGAAACAAGATTTGGGATGTCTTTGAGTGTGTTTAACTCCAACATTATTCTGTTTTGCGTCCCCCCCCCCCATCCATGGCAGGGAACAGGGAGACTGGAGCAACAATCAGAGTGTGATGTGACACTTTGCTGAGGCCTTTATTCTGCACGACTCCTGCTAATATGCAAGCTCACCTAAGTAGGGCTTTAAAACCAAGTTTAATTCTTTGAAGACCAAAGCATTTCAATTTTTTCCAACAGACCAGTTCACAGCTAGCCCTGGACTGCCAGTGGGGTAGCCCAAATTCCAAAATCTATCATCTGGAAACACACAAAAGCCCCCACCGTCAGATATTTCCTTTCAAAGCCAGTCAAAAAAAAAAAAAAAAAAAAAAGGAGAGGGCCCAAAAGCTCAGAGTAGAAATGTCTAACTCCATGTCCCCCCTTCCTCTTCTTTTTCTCGCTCCCTCTTTGACACACCAGGAAAAAGACAGATATAAATAACCTCAGGTACAGCACTGCTATTTTTCTAAATGAAGAGCAAAATAACCCCCGCGCTCGCACTCACCACTCTTGTTCTCAAAACTGAAAGAGTGGGCCTCCATTGAAGGATTTCAAAAATAGGGGCAATTTTAATCATCTCTCCATTCAATCTCAGTTGGATAAATCATATCTGAGAGATTTGCATAAATACAAACCATCAAAGACTTTTCATCTTCAAAGAGGTTTTCAAGACCCAATAGGCTTTGTACTGTAATCATCTGAGGTCACAACCCTGTGGGAGCAAGGCTGCTATGGCAACATAAAAACTAACGCTGGGGGCTTAGCATAATATCCCCCCTCCTTCGCAAACACAGGAAGGGGTGGGGGGGTCTGAGAGGGAGTGTGAAAAGAGGGTGTAGATAAACCTATTTCTGTGACAGAGGAAACTAGATAGATATGGCCCGTCGTGGGGAAACCTAGCTGATATTACACGCAGAGATTACCACCACGACACTGTGCCACGCAAACCCTAACAAGGCTGCGGCGAGCTGCGCAGGCTGTTTGGATTCTGCCGGAGGAAAACAAATGACAGCTCAATGTGGCACCACTGGATAAAAAGCCCCCTAGCCTCTCCGATTACATGTTTCTGTCCTTCTGCTGTATTCTCCTCTTCAGCTATTATGCACTTTGAGGGCCTGATTTACACTGCATAAGAGGGACTATAGTGCTTGTTCATTGTTGCTCTGGCGCGTACAGCAACCATTAGCTGTCAATGGCTCTCAAAACTAGGACCCTTTAAGATGTTATTCACTACTGAATTAGAAAAAATAAAAGAATAGAAAAAGGAAGAAATAACACCTCTTCCTGCCATTCACAGCCACGCTACAAACAAGCCCTCTGACAGTTTTGCCACCCAATCATGAAAAGAGAAGGAGGGAGAGATGGAGCTAGAGAAAGGAGGCTATAGTGGGACAAGTTTCAATTAATTTTCTTCAAAAGGGGGCCAGATTAAATGTTTCCGGCCTGCTGAAGTGTTCATTTCACAGAGGGGAAGCGGAGAAAGGGATGAGGGGAGGGGACAGGAGGAGGAGTAGAGGAGGAGGAGCGGGACAGGGTGCGATTCTTTCGGTCCCAGTGCACACCAAATAGTGTGGTGGGCAAAGAATGCACACGGCTCCGAATCTGTGTGAGAATTGTCCTCAGACAAAGGAGGGAGTTACGCCTGTTATAGCCCAATAAGGCCTGTCAGTCACACAAGGCCTGGGGGAGAGGAGAAAGGCAGAGCTAAAGATTTCCACACAAAGGGAAACAAGCAAGTCCATCTTTTAGCGACAAATCAGTCTGGAGGTTCCTGTGCTAATATCAATAAAAAAAGGGAGAAAAATAAACAAGTGAGGGATTTACTGCATGGCCTTACAAGAGTGGAGAAAATCAGACACATGCTTACAACACAGGCCCACAGAAAAGCATGCGTGAAGGAGACAGGAAAAAAGTTGGACGGACAAAGATGAGATTAGATGAGCACACATGAATCAATGAAGGTCCCATCCAGATCTACAGACTTGACTCTGTTTCAGGAGCACACATGCACCTGCTGATGCCGAAACACACTGATAGCCAACACACTGTAAATCAAATGTGCAAACAGATTTACATTGTATTCAAAAAATGCAAAAAAATAATAATAATAATAAAAATAAAACATAAGCTGGAAATTATCCACATTTTAGTAATAGTAATAACATTAACAACAAAGATATGAATGCCGAAAAAAAAATTACCTTTTTTTGTAAAGTGAGAAAAATTAGCAAAGAGAGAAACGGCTGAGTTGAGGGAGAGAATTTGTGAACACCTGTCAGCAATTATACTTGGAAGAAAGGCAGCAGGAAATAGATGTCTTCTAATTAAAACCACTAGTTAAAAACTTCCTGCCGCAAGACCATGTATGAGTATATATATATATGTATATATGTGTGTTTATATATATATATATGTGTGTGTGTGTGTGTGCGTGCATAGTAAGACTAAAGCCATACCATGCACCCACCTTTCACTATTGACTATGTCTCTCTTTCTTCTAAACAAATCTTAATGGCTTAATCACCAAACCCTGTTCTGAATGTTTGTAGCTTGACACAATAACGAAAAAGCTTAAAAAATAAATCAGCCACTTCGAAAACTGCTTAGGTAAACTGCTTGTCCATGTGAATGTGTGTGCAAAGAGAGAGAAAAAGGAAAAAAAAAAAAACAAGCAGTGACATATATATCTTTTTTTTTTTTTTTTTTTTTTTAGCAAAAAGTACTTTTGAACTGAACATCAATAAAGCACCTTTGAACTATATTCAGACACAAACAGTGAAGGAGGTAGACAGTAACCTGCTTCCTCCTGGTTAAGTGACCCATATGGAGCTGATCAGAAAGGCCTGCATTAATGATGTCACTGTCTCCTGACCTTTCGGGACCTGACATCCGTACAGCGCCCCTTTATAGAAAGCCAGAGGGATGGCCAAGCCCAGACAAACACCTCTTAACTACAGCGCAGGCCCAGTTAGTATGGACAAATTGCAAAAGAGAAACTGGGAACAATATCAGTGGGCAATCATTTCACATGCAGTAGTCAGTAACTGGGAAGATTTAGCAAAATATGTGGACAATTAAAATATGTTTTCAATATCAAAACTATATATAATATAATAAGAGAACGTAATGCAGGTTTGCGGCATATTTTCATTTGTTGTACCTGTCTGTCTAACCCCTAACCCTAACCTGCTTTGACTACAATTAAATTAATTCTTAGCCACAACATGACACTGTTCGAGGCAGTCTCCAGTAAGTTCAGGAGCGGCAGAAGGCAACGTTGTGTTGTTACAGAAAGCTATCGGGCTTCTGAAGCTAATCCGAAGAAATGTCATCCGTTTCTTGAGCGGCAGCCAAGAAAAACACTCTGTCTGTCCCCGAGTCCTGCCACAGGGATTGATTCCCACTTTTACTGGGAAATGGAAAAGTTTGTTATGATTGCTTTGAAGATTCCCGTGGTTTCCTCTTACTTCATGACTTTGTGGAAGAGTACCACTGTGTATTTTAAAAAAGACACCCAGAGGTGAAAGCGAGAAATGGGTATTTTTAGTCTTATTTAGTTTTTGTATGTAATGCAACTTGGTGTTTTGTTTTGTTTTTTTAGGAAGAGGTTACATGTGGTTCGGGGAAAAAAATTGCTTGCAGACTACTGCATTAAGCCCTCTTTGACTTTAAAAAACACTACAGGAGCACTTCTAAGGTGGGCTAATATTTGTAACTTACCCACTGCACCTCCTGCATGTCCTCCACTTTGGGCAACATGATGGCAGGAGGGAGAACCTCAGCCTGCAGGATGACCTGTAGGTCAGCCTCAGCTAAGCCACTGGACACCGAGTTCACCCTCACACACTTCTCTGTTCGGCCCAGATCCAGTTCTGCTAACATCCTGGGAATGGTCTCCCTGGCCTCTGTCTGGAGCATAAAACAGAAAAAAAACCCTGAAAAATCATGATTACTTCATGTGACTGCACTTTGGAATTACTCATTTCAAAACGGAACATTTTAAAAGCAAGCATTACTGTGAGGGATGCTAAACAGAGCACAAAAACTGCTAAAGAAAGATTGAAAAATTGTAATTTGTTCGACCCAATTCAACATTCACGAAAACAATGAGAGGATAAATTGTCCAAGAATGCAGTTAAAGTGAAATTTCCTTCAAGGAAATGGCACTACATAAATAACATTTACTAATATTATCATAAAAATAAACACTGCATTACAGACACAAATAATGTGTGCTCAAAGTGGGAAATTCACAAAGCACACATGAATCTGTAATATAGTAGTGTAACAAGTAATATGAAGATGAAACTTTAACATATAACCCACACAAAATAACACAGCACATCTGCACTCTCCCTCGACCGCAGTTCATCTTTATACAGTATCACAAATCAACAAAACAGAGGCTGCACACTCAACTTTGTTCTCTCAATGCAGGCATTGTATGAGCTGAGCAGGAAGAGAGATGAGGAGGATGGAAAAATCAAAGAGAAGCCTACAGTCCCAACTTCTATCAGTAACACAGTAGCACACACCGCTATATTCAAACCAGATGCTGGGCTTCGAGAACGGAGAGAAAGAGGGATGGAATGGGAGAGAGAAGTCTGGCTAGTGAGAGGAGAGAGGCTCTCTGGGAGAAATGTGGTCTGAGTTAAGCAGCATGAGGAAACGGTAGCTTAGGAGTTGTCAGTTCAGATCAGAGGCTGGAGACTTTGAGTGTTTGTGTGCGCGTGTAGGTGTGCGTGTGTGCATGTGTGTTGTGGAGATGCTTAAATTGGGATTCCCCCCCCCCTTATACTACTAAAAAGGTAGTATAAAGGGAAATACTCTCAAACTGATTGAGAGATTACTGGGTGTACCAGCAAAGTTCTGAAGATGCTTAAGCTGTGAAATACAACGTAGGTCTTTAAAATGGATGGTGGCAAATGCAGCATCACGCCATGTGATGGAAACTCATACTTGATGAAAACTTGACGGTGCAAATGTTTTGGATTAATTGGGGGAAAACATAAGTGAGTAGAATATCTAAACAGGCCAATGATTATTAGCCAGACCACTGAATTAATGTGGGTGTGTGCATGAAAGAGAAACTGTAGACAGATATAACATGGAGAGCCCATACATCACACTCTCTTGTAAAAACTAAAGTGGACTGGAGTCAACCTCGGTTCAGTTGTATGAGAGCTTATGGGGACCCCTCAGGGGTCACGGGACAGCTTCTGAGACAAAACAGTCCTCGGTCTGATCTCCTGGAATGCAGAACTGTACTTGATATTATGAACACCCCTCCAGTATCAATAAAATATGGTATCAAAGTACATATCAAAGATTTGCTCGGATTTAATAGGGGTCATGAGCGGGCTGGACTGCTGTGTGTCATCTATGTCTCCCTTTTGCCTCACTGAATGAGACAAGAGGGACTGTCACACCGTATGATGAGTGCACTGTGATCTTTGACTCTTACTCAAGTTTTGCTGTAACCTCTCTGTTACTCTGTCTGACTGCCGCTCATAAGCCAAGATGGACCTGTAACTGTATCGTGGTAACTTAAAACGGATGGAGCGATTTACACAGCCATAATTCACTCTTCATAAACCTGCTACTTGGTGGATAAAATTTGGTCTGTCCCTCCCCAGTTCACGGTGACTGGAGAGAATTGATCTTCAAGAATGGCTGGTTGCCTCTTATGTCAGGAGTCACATTGATCCCTGACCAAACTAAATAAATAGCAATGCAGAAATGATCAAAAAGCATGGTTTATAACATTCACAGATCAAATAGACTGGAGCTTCAACCTCAGCCTGATATACTAGCTGCCTGCATGTATAAAATTCTTTTAATGTAACCAGAGACCACTCATTGCAAGGATTGTCTCATGCACTTTTCTTCTTTTGCGACAGTATCTCTGAAACCATGACGCCAGGAATGGCTAAGGAGATGGCCAGGTCACTGTGCGCTAACCTTTCTTTTATCTCTCGCTCTCTAAAGCGAGAGATAGATTATTCCGCCAGACACCTTGACCCCTATGGGCTCCGCTACTCTGAGCTTGAATAAAGCCCTTTGAAAAGGAAATATTTTACATTAATGGACAGCCATCCAACAAGTTGCTTCAAAGCTCCCTCCCCAATCACCTGGTGTCCCATGGAGAGCCCGCCCCGACGTCAGCTCCATCTCCTCTTTGATTCCCTCCATCATCCTCATCATTAGAAGCTGACACACAAGGCAGGCAGGCAGGCGAGCAGTCGGCCAGGTGGGCAGGGCCCGTCAAACGCATAGATGCACACAAGAAGCTTTTTAAGTGCAGTGAGGCTGACCTTCCAGAGAGCGAGGTCAGCTCCTTAACACACAGCCTGAGCCTTGACGCACAGGATCCTACAGAGTGCTGTGTATACATGACACAGCATGGCTACAGCCTTGTAGACACCACATCAGACTGGAGCGTCCAAACTGATGTGTGTACAGTCCACAGCGGGACCACTTTCCTCTCCAGCATCAGATCATGGATGGCGCAGGCCTGCCGTCATACAGCTTGAAACAAGCAACGCCAAACATCGCCTCTGGACAGACTATGGGTGTAGACTCGCACACAAAAGTTGTTTCATTCAATTTGAATTAGATCTCAATGCAGTGGTAGTTACTGTGTATACCGGATAGAAATGAGGATAAATAAAGAGTTCTGCATAATATTAAATGTGTATTTGAAAAGGGCATAAAAATTGGGTAAAATATATTTTTCTAGTGAAATAATTGTTGTTGTTGTATCAATAGCCTGAGAAACACCAACATACACAAAAGACAAATGGCATAAACCAGGGTCATGTAAGACATACTATTGTATTGTCTGTCTGCATTCTCAAAAACAACATGTATGTACATCACTGACACAGTGCCTTCAAACAGCAGAGTGCTGTGTTTTTTTTATTCTGAAAGTGTATATTTATGGTTTTGTGTGAAAAGAGTAGGAAATCATGAGTCACAAGGAGCGTAGTTGTTTTTTTACCATTCGAGAGCTGGCGTTTTGCATCCTGCTGTGCAACTCGCGATGCCATTTAAAATGAGCTGTAGACTATCTCAGGTGAAGGCTGCCTGCCTGAAGTGCGACTGTGTGCGCATTTGTTCGTCTGTCTTTGTCAGTACGTGTGTGTCGGTGTGTGCACGTGTGTGTGTTAGCAGATTTCAAGTCGTTGTGGATGGGTTTTGACAAGTGACATGCTGCACTCCAGAAAGCTGGAGAGAGATGACTGACTAATTCAGGGTACGTTGATAACTGAGACATAGCAGAAGGAGATTCGGGCCTTCACTCTTGTCAGTTGGAGGCACACCGTGTTATCCGTTATCCTGTCACGCCAGACAACAAGACATAACTAGCAGGATAGAGCAGGAGGAATTTGTAAATCATAAAACCTGCTTGTCATTGTTGGTCAAAACTGACAGCCTGAGGTAGAATAAACAGCTAGTTATTACACACTATTTACTCACTTTAATTAGCCATGAAAGCAACTCATTACAGCTCTTTGGTTACAGTTCATTACAAGCTGCATTGCAATGTTTTTTGGGAAATGTATTCCCAAGGCTATGTATCCATTTTGTAGGGAAAATGCCAGGCTCATCATTCATTATCTCTTCAAGATATATAATCTATTCTCGGCATAATTAAAATGATGTACTGAGTTTTGTTTATTGGTGATTATGCATCAGTTTGTTTCCTAATGATTTATGTCTCATTTGCAAATCCCAGTACAGCCGTCTCCACCAATAACGTGTGTCCATACTACTCACAACAACTAACAGGACTAATTATGCTTAATTTGAGGTCTCTATTAGCCTTCTTTGAAATAAATGATTGATTTTAAGTGTGTTTTAACTGTGATTATTATTATTAAGGTAAGTAAGTGAGCTAGATTTGGCTTTATTAGTGAGCTTTGAAGGCTGTATGAGCTCAAATCGTGAGCCTATCAGGTATTCCTAAATCTGGGCAGAACAATAGCGGCTCCAAACTAAATGAAGTTTGGAATGCCGTTGTCCGATGCAGCACTGGGTGCAAATCCGACCTCTGTACCAGAGGGTGACAGAATATGTGCATCAGGGAGAAGGAAAGAACGCATTGGGAGCAAGAAATAAACAAATAGAACATGACCTATGGCTGGGGTGAAACTGCAAGTATAGCTACTGACCAGGTGCTCTCTGCTATTATGAGTCAGCGCAACCTTGCTGAATCAGGTCAATAAATATGATAATCTTCCCTCCCCTCCCTCCCCATTTATCTTAAAGCTGCATACACAAGTATGCCATACAGTAGATCATCCGTGGTTAAATTTAGTATAAATCATATAAATATCTGTAATAATATAAATAAATGTGTGTGTTTAAAAGCTCCAATAATAATTTTTTGTACTATTAGCGATAATATTGGCGAGCCCTACCATATGACAGTGTATGCTGCTTCATAAAAGGAACAAAACCATGTTAAGTAGGCTACATTTAAAATAGGAGAGCATTTTACAAAATTTAGGTTTTTCCGACCTCAAGATTGCAGACTTTTGTAACCTAGGGCTCTGCTATAATGTTCTTGAGGCTGTGCAAATGAAACCGAAGCCATATGATGTGTGGAAAAAATAAGTATTGGCGGATCCATGTGAGTCATAATCAGTTCATGTGACCAAAGTGTTAATAAGGTGAAGAAGGTGTGAAAACACAAGTAAACTGCAAACATGTGTTTTGAGGCTACATGTGAAAAATGCAACTAATTGCATGATGACAATAAATGGCACACCGAGCAAAGCTTTGACTGGAAGCATCCACACAAGGTTTCAGATCACATTTTTACACTTTATATGTTTACATTTCTCACTTAGACCAGTGGTTCCCAATCTTTTTCCTTAAGTGACCCCTTAAACTGACAAACCCTG